GTTAGAATCATTAACACCCACAAGGAAGATGAAATTTCCTGCTCTGTCTTAATGAGACAGTAAAAATGTCTTTTCTTCAAGATTGCAAATGGATAAGAACCCTTTAGAAAGAGTTCACGAGACTCGAAAGGGTGCAGCCGAAAGGGACTGGGTATCACCCTGGCTGCCTCGCATTTCTACAAGGAGAGAAAGTCTTATTTTGTTACCAAGGGTGCAGCTGTTGTTTTACATTGCACCATGGAGGAATTTATCACTGAAAGTGTCCACATTCACTTCAATGGACTTGGCTATAGACTCATGTTTCCTGGAAAGCCAGTTAAGATGCAAATTTTAAATATTTTATTTCTGAAAAGCAAAAATCATTTTCTCCAGTAGAACACACTCAAATTAAATACCATAAAACCTGGTTTCTGGGAAAGCATTTCTGGAAACATCTTTCCCCCAGATCCAAACAAGAACATATAACTGTCTAAACGTGCCAGTGGTCAACCCAGGACACAGACAACAGTAAACACCCTGTGCTCCACTCACTACCTGCAAAACACCTTCAGCAGACATCCTCAGCTAGGGGAATACTTCGATTCACTTACAGGACGGGTAAAAAACGACACTTTGTTATTTGTAAGCCACAGAACTCAAGCACGTTTTACACACACTTGCAAAGTACCGGACCTGCCCGCCCCACCCCCGCCCCCACCACTTCCTTAGAGGAATTGTACTCACTGGCCTCCCAGGGACGATAGGGGGTCGTTATTTCTCATCTAAGCATCAGGCTCCAGAAGCCCATGTGCTCACATGCTGCAACACACACACGCACGGACTTTATTCTGACGTGTGCTCTGTGCTCACGTGGGTGCCGGCGGCTCACCTGGTCACTACAGGCTGGGTGGACGCCACCCAGCAAAGATGCTGGTCCACGGAGGGTGTGGATCCCTGGGCCCCGGGGATGACAACCAGCCTCTCAGGGCGGGGGTCGTATTCCCACATGTGCCCCAGGAGAACAGACAGCTGAAAAATGACCTATGAACTCCCTACACCACAGCTCACTAATGTGGCGTGTTAACAGTGACCCTGACTCTCAGAGAGGAGCCCTGCTGTCAGACCAGGGGAACTTCCCAGACTCTCAGTGAGGACCCCAAGCTCCCGCTCCATCAGCACCCAGCATGGCCCACTGGATGGCCCTGGATGCCGCCGTCTGGGCTCCACGTGGCCTTGGCCAGGCCCGCAGCCCCTTACCTCAGAACAAAGCCACCCTGTGCGGTCGGCAGGGCCGGATGGATGTGGCTCTGGGACAGATGGTCACTCTCCCCGTTTAGAGAAGATAAAAAGGCTAAAGGAGAAACATCAGAGTGGGGTTTTGTTCTAAACCAGAGGAGGCTACGGCTCCCATTGGTCTCAGGTTGGAGACCTCGTGACATGGGATCAGGCACATGTGACCTACTTTTTGCCCGCTCCCCTTATTCCGCAGGAGGGTGCGCCTGGCGGACGGGCTGTCATTCCAATGACTCTGTCCCCCGACAGGGGCCACCGCACAGACTGCCGTGCCTGCAGGACATCGCATGGCCGCTCACCCTGGAAAGGAGGGGGGCAGAGGCCTCAGGCCCCCGTCAATCGAAATGCAGCGCTGCAGACCCAAGCAGCCTCCTCTCAGCTGTGGCCGTGCTCGGGCTGGGTCCCTCCGCGACCGTCTGGAAGGTTTGGCCCGCGAATCCGCTCCTCTTCCCCGTTTCCTCCTCTGTGGTCAGGAGCTTCCAGGTGCTGCCCCAGGAGTCAGTTACACAGGAGCTGAGCCTCGACTGAGCCCCCCTGCTGCCCGAGAGGAGCCAGCCTGACAGTGGGCTTCTCACCTGGGCGGTGAGATGAATAGACTGACCCAGACCTTGAGACTATGTGGAGGATGCAGCTGGTCCCCCATCAGAGCAGGCATCTGCCACCATGCACGAGAAGTGACTGCTATTACCGCTCTCTCTTGACATCCCACCCCAAATCAGATGCAGATAAATGAAAAGACCAAGCCCCTAACCAACTGGCTTTGGGGAAGTTTCACCCAGAGGACTCGCTGGCTGGGAGGATGGGCCTCGCTCTGCCGGGTGCTGTCAGGCCCCGCTGAGAGAGCCCACAGGGTGCTGGGGCGCCTCCTGAGAGAGCCCGCGGGGCACAGGGGCACCTCCTGAGAGAGCCCGCAGGGCGCTGGGGCGCCTCCTGAGAGAGCCCGCGGGGCACAGGGGCGCCTCCTGAGAGAGCCCGCGGGGCGCTGGGGTGCCTCCTGAGAGAGCCCGCAGGGTGCTGGGGCGCCTCCTGAGAGAGCCCGCAGGGCGCTGCGGCACGTGCGCTGCCAGCAGAGGTGCACCCACAGGTGGCAGCATGCCAATTTGCTGCCAGGTCAGCCTGACTGTTCGTTACAGAAAAAATGGAAAATGTGTGTAATGCAAACCACCAGTAACATCATCCCCAGAAAGACCACCAGTGAGAATGGGTGTTTTGAAGTCGACCTACTCAGACATCTTTCCAGTAGGCATGTATCATTGTATTTTTTAAAAAATAGGACCAAGCCACCCATGATTGTTCTTTTTCCCTACTTGACATTATACATGAAATATTTTTCTATGTTTCTGTATGTGAATCTGCACAGTAATGGTCAAATTTCCCATGGTTTCAAACTGTAAGCATAAGATTTTGTGCATTTAATTTTAAGCATTTTCATGCATAAGGATATAGTCAGCTGCAAGGACTGTATGCTCTGCGTCCCTGAATCATTATCTTAAACAATGTTTTCATAGTAATCTTTGGGCAGACCTGTCTCTGTCATCTTTTATCAACTTGGAACGTTTCTTTATAGAAGGAAGGTCAAAGAACACGTGCTTGAGGCTCTGGTGTGGGTGACAAACGGGCCCACCAGCAGCACTCCCGAGATGAAGGGCCCTTCCCTGTGCTCCGGCCCACCCTGGGGAGCCTGTTAGCGGTGCCACTGAGCTCCGAGACCTGGGATGCCAGTGCCAGAGGCTGGGCAGGGGTGGAGGAGACCGGGAGCCCTGTGGTGGGCCATTTGTTGTTGGCTCATCCAGTGCCCGCAGCCGCTCCATGAGGGACAGACAGAGCAGTCCTGTCACTCTGGGTTTGCTCACGGTCGGAGGGCATGGGCTGCCAAGGGCCCCCTCTTGGTCACTGGGAAGGCACTGAAAGGACTGGGCACTGGCCTTTGGGTCTGGAGGGAGGGCAAGGTGAGCGAGTGGCCACAGTGAGGCTGTGCAGGGTAGGGGGGTCACAGCAAGTGGGGGAGCTGCCAAGGAGCCTGCCTGACTTGGTGCAGGGGAGCAAGGGGTGGCCGGTGCCGAGTCTTTGAAGATGTGACATGGACACGAACAGCGAGCAGAGGGCATGAAGAACCAGAGTCATGGGTGAAGAGGAGGTGAGGGCTCGGGGACACAAAGGTGGCCAGAGGCCCAGCCAGGATGTCGGGGGAGCTGGGAATGGCGGCATCCAGGGCGTGGGGCTGGATGCAGCTGGGCGGACATGGTCAGGACAGGATGGCCCTACCAGCAGTGCCTGCCTTGCCCATGGGGGCAGCTGGCAGACACTGGGGGAGGCAGAGAGGCCAGTGGGGGCTCCTTGGCTCCTGCAGTTGCCAAGCTGCAGCCCACCCTGGGGGTGCTCCTGGTCTCTCCTCCACGTGGTCCCAAAGAACCCCGGTCAAATGGTTGGTTTACATAACCATCCTCGCTCCTGACCACAGCCTGGGATGTGCCAGCCATGTGGAAGGAGCCGTCCATCCATCTCCTGTCCAGACCCAGCGCTGCTTCCTGGTAATTGGTCCCTGACTCTCCTGCAAACAGGTACCTGGAGGCTGAAATGTTTACACCTTCCTCCGTACAAAGCAAAGATCAAAACAACTCTGTGCAGGCACCACAGGGTTAAACATGCTGAGCTGCATGTAAAAAAGCAAAACAAAGCCAGGCAGACAAGATCTGGGCAGCAGGAGAGAAGCTGGAGTGGACAACAATGAAATTTCAGAAAGTCAGGCCCAGGTTTTGTGACATTTTAAAGACACAGGTGTTTTCCTGACAACCACCTGGAGACAGGCTGACTCGGAACCTATATGACGTGTTATGTCATGAATTTGGGTTAACAAATCACAGCTGAAAATTGGTCCTCAGTGGCCGCCTTGTGACCCTGGGTAAACCAGGCGCCCAGCCTGGAATGTACTCTTCAGGCTTCACTAACTCCCCTTAAAACTTAAACGCATGGGTGAATAAACCAGAACTGGCCTGGAGAGGACCATGCCTGAGAGCTGAGCAAGAAACCTCGAAGGCTTTCTTTACAGGTGACACGCTGAGGTCAGAGACGGTCAGTGCTACGGGCTCAGGACCCGGGAGGCCCCGGGAGAACTCAGGCCTCAGGGTGCAGGGTGGACGGCAAGGTTGCACACGTAACACGTAGGCTCCGGCACACAAGCACATGGGCTCTGGTACCCACCCCCACCCCAACCCCCACGAGGCAGCATGGTCAGCAGGGCCGGGCCGCCTGCAGCGTGAGCACAGGACCCTACATGAGGCTGGATCCCTCAGCGCCAGTAACAGAGCCGGCTCTTCAGACTCCCCGCTTGGTGGATGAGGCCACTGAGGCCTGGCAACGGGGCATACATAAGGGAAGGTGTCCCATGTGCCTCGGATATTCCAGGGAAGAAGCTGTGGAGAACCCTGTCTGCCTCAGCTGAGACTGGCTTCTTCAAGCTCTGCATCACCGGATGCGACCTTTCAAGAGTCAGTGGGAATGCTGCTCCTGCCGGGTCACATGCAGCACCTCGTTTCTCTGCTCAGGTTTCCTGCTTGTGGCGTGTGCTCTCACCCTGGCATGGCCCCCGGCTGATGCCGCATCAGGGACTAAAGAGCGACACCTGCCTGGCACCACTCACGCACACTCCCTGGTTCCAGGGCTGAGTCTGACTCTCTGCACTCCTGGTAACTGGACACACGGACATGCGCCGCTTCCTGGCCACTCACCTTCCCCCATAAGCAGGCTCGACGCGTCAGAGCAGATCCATAGACAGCGCGCGGGTTCACCCTCGGGACCTAGAGCATCAGAGCTGCCTCTGGCGACTTGCGGGAGGGCTGGCAGGTCGTGGGGCCCCGCGACCTGGAACACAAGAACATGGGGCGCGTGAGCTGACTGGTGAGCACCTCGCGCCTCGGACCAAGCCTCCACAGAACAGCAGCGTTTCTTAGGACTTGGCTGTGAGACGCGTGGGATGTGATGAAGTGCCTGTGAGGGCTCATCCTGGGACCAGCCCTCCGCCCTGAAGGAGGAGGCTCCACAGACCGGGGGGGGGCTTCTGTCTCATAGACAAGCAGGCGGAAGCAGAACTTGGCCACACTGTGCATACTTCTGAGAATATAAGTGAAACAGCCAAACTCCTACTCATTTAGCATATACACACATACTAATTTTTTTTCTAAAATTATGAAATTATATATTAACTTAAGTACATTTCTGGTCTCCAACTTTTTACAGCTGGTATTATCATTTCATTGAAACCCTTCCCTCTCAGCAGGCAATCTGTCCATCTAGTCTTTCCCAGAGTGTACCATTTTCTCCTTGATCTAAGTTTCTAGACTTCTCACTTTTTGAATCCATGTTTGTTGCCCAAATAGGAAATTTCATCCCCAGGCACAAGAACTCATGCTCAGGACGTCACCCTCTTTGCTGCGTGTCAAGTCCAGGAGTATGTTTAGATCTCTGCGCCCCCTTGTCAGACCTCTGCACCTTAGAAGGCTTCTTTACAATGGCGTCCACCCTTTGGAATTGTGAGGTCAGAGCACCAGAAACAATGAGAAGCCCGTGTTAAACATCTCTGCCTTTCTCTGTGTCAATCAGGTAACCCTTTTAGGTAATAAACAATATCACTGTGTCTGTTTCAAGGTCAAATATTCTTATCCATATAATCTGTCAAGGTTTGAAATGAAATAAATGAGAATACAGGACATGTAAGGAAACGCCATGAAAGACGACATTGAATAAAACCTCCCTCTTTCACAGAGGCAGACAGTGTCCCCGCTGGTGCAGTAAAAGAGTCCGCGTGTTATTGATTGGGGGATCAGAGAGGCCTGAAGCTCACGAATGGGAACTCATGAGGAAGCAATGGAAGAATTCTCAGCAAGGGAGCCAAAACAATCCCTGAGAAAGGAACAGTCTTTTCACATGGTGCTGGGAAAACTGATATCACACATGCCAAAGAGTGAACTTGGAGCCTTACCTCACAACATATGCAGAAATTAACTGAAAATGGGTCAGAGACCTAGGCTTAGGAGCTAAAACTGTAAACATCTTGAAAATACTGGAAGAAAAATCTTCATGATACCGGATTTGGAATGATTTTGTGGATATGACACCAAAAAGCACAGACAGCAACAAACAAGTAGATGAACTGGACTTCCTCAAAATTAAGAACTTCCGTGCATTGAAGGGCACTAACAGGAAAGTGAAAACACAACCTACACAACAGGAGTGAATATCCACAAATCAGACCCCTGAGCAGGGTTAATACTCAGACTGTATGTGGAGCTTCCACAACTCAATAATAAAAAACCTAAAAATATACAAAGGATTTGAGTATATATTTCTCTAAGGAAGATAAAGAAATAACCAGTAAGCATGGGAAAAATAACTCAACATCATTGGGTATTAGAGAAATGTAAGTCAAAACCACAGTGAGCTACTTGAAGTGATGTCATGAAGCTCATGTCATGAAGCTCAGTCATGTCTGACTCTTTTGATCCCGTGGACTGTAGCCTGCCAGGCTCCTCCGTCCATGGAATTTTCCAGGCAATGATACTGGAGTGGGTTGCCATTTCCTTCTCCAGGGGATCTTCCCAACCTGGGGATCGAACCCGGGTCTCCTGCACTGCAGGCAGACTCTTTACCGTCTGAGCCACTAGGAAAGGCCCGTGAGCTACTTAGAGTGGCTGTAATAGCAATAACAGTAACAATAATGAAAATGATAATAAGAAAAGACAGAAAATAACAAATGTCAGCAAGGACACGGAAAAACTGGAGTCTTCATATATTGCTGGTGGAAATACAAACTGGTGTGATCACTTGGGAAATCAGTCTGGCAGCTCCTCAAAAAGTAAAACCTAGAGTTACCATATGGCCTAGCAACCCCACTCTGAAGCTCGTACCCAAGGGAGTGAAGATGTACATCCGCACAAAGCCTTGCACCTGGGTGTTCACAGAAGCACTGTCCCAGACAGTCAGAAAAGTGGAAAGAACCCAGCATACATCAACTGATGACGATGGATCAACAAACGGTGGCATATCCTTACAGTGGGACATTATTCAGTTGCAAAAAGGGGTGAAGAACTGACATGCACTACAACGGGAATGAAGCCAGAAGACATAACATGAGGGGCAAGAAGGCAGACGCAGAAAGCCATGTGTGTGATCCTGTTTAGAGTAAACGTCCAGAACCAGGACAGAAGGCGACCCCCAGCCCTAGGGCTGAGGAGAGAGGGCTGTGCGATGAGCGTGGGGTTCCTTCTGGGGCAATGAGAACATTCTGGATTAGACAGTGGTGGTGGATGCACACCTTTGTCAGATGCTAAAAACAACTAAAATGTACACTTGTATGAATTGTATGGCATGCGAATTATACTCAAATAAAAAAACAAAGGTAATTAATAAATGCCAGCAATGCAAGAGGCCCTGGGTTCAATCCGTGGGTAGGGAAGATCCCCTAGAGAAGAGAATGGCAATCCACTCCAGTGTTCTTGCCTGGAGAATCCCTTAGACAGAGGAGCTCGGGGAACTACAGTCCATGGGTCATAAAAGGAATGGAAGAGAACTTGTATTAAACATCACAGAGTTACCCTGTGTCTACTCCACCCTTAAAGGAACTGCACCGGAATGACGCTCACAAACGGCACAGACATACAAGCACTGAGAAGTCAGGAGGAGAGAGGAGACCCGACAAAGAGCTGTCAGCGCACCCCTGGGATCTGGGACGTGGGTGAACACGAGGTAAATGAGGAGCAAAGCAAAGACAGGAAAACCGCAGCCTCTAACAGGGCTGAACGGGCAGCTGGCTGCGCAGGGCTGCGCAGAGCGGCTCCACGGGCTGGGGGTACGAGGCGGTTGAAAACAACTGTGATGATGAGAATGGTCTGTGAGGAAGCCTCGGGGCCACGAGTGCCACAGCACCGTGGCCACCATCCAGCACTCCGGGACAACCCGAGGTTTCCTCTCGGGAGTGGGTGACTCTGCAGGATAGAAATGCTGACGCGGACCTGGGATTGTCACGGGGAAGAGAACGGGAGAAACACGAGATCCCATGCCTCTCCCAGGGCTGCCGGTGCCCCAGCACACAGGGCCCCCCTCGCTGCGAGCCACACAGAGTAGAAAGACTGTGACAGTGGCTTCTGATGAAAATGTAAGAAAGCCCGAAACTAACAAGCTGAAGGACATTCCATTTGAAATTGACATCCTCTGAGAACTCGCTTACTAGACACGTAGCCCCAACAAGGCACCATGTCTGGTAACGGCACCAGGAGACCAGCAGTCCGGAAAGTGACATGACAGACCCATGTGCGTGGTGACCCACTTCTTTCAACATCAGCAGCACACTTCAGAGGGTGGGGGCACCGAGCTCCCTGCAGAGTGAGGTGTGAGTGCCGGGGATGGTCTCGGAGCAAAGCCTCTGTCGTTCTCTCTTCAAAACTTAACTGGTGTCGGGAAGGGGGTAACAGAGGAGATAACGTGGGGTCCGTGACCCCCACCTCGCCGCTACGGCCACCCCTCACTGCACAACCCACTCGGAGACAACAGGAGCGATGGTTTTCAGCATCTTGCTGAACAGACCGCCACAACAAATCAGTTTCAAAGGAACAGAGCCCGAGGACAGCTTGTGCCCTCACAAGCACAGTCCAGACAAAGCGGCCTGCTGAGCCGTAAACGACTCACATACACATACAGGCAGACACATGCGCGTGCCTGTGGGGGCATGAGCGGCTCCCACTGGCATCTACGCCTTCATGTGGGGCCTGGCTTCTATGGATATCTGAGAAGACGCCCAGGGGCAGTGCTGTCCTCTGCCCTGCTGGGCATCCTCCCGGGAAGGCTGGGTGACAGGAAGGGAGTGGGCCAGGAGAGGAGAAGGGACAAGAGAGGAGAGGGGACAAGAGAAGAATGGGGCTGGGGGGGGCAGGAGAGGAGGGAACAGGAGAGGAGGGAACAGGAGAGGAAGGAACAGGAGAGGAGGGGGAGTCAGGAGAGGAGGGGGGCAGGAGAGGAGGGGGGCAGGAGAGGAGGGAGGCAGGCGAGGAGGGGGCAGGAGAGGAGGGGGGCAGGAGAGGAGGGGGGCAGGAGAGGAGGGGGCAGGAGAGGAGGGGGGCAGGAGAGGAGGGGGAGTCAGGAGAGGAGGGGGAGTCAGGAGAGGAGGGAACAGGAGAGGAGGGGACAGGAGAGGAGGGAACAGGAGAGGAGGGGGGCAGGAGAGGAGGGGGCAGGAGAGGAGGGGGGGCAGGAGAGGAGGGAACAGGAGAGGAGGGGACAGGAGAGGAGGGAACAGGAGAGGAGGGGGGCAGGAGAGGAGGGGGGCAGGAGAGGAAGGAACAGGAGAGGAGGGGGAGTCAGGAGAGGAGGGAGGCAGGAGAGGAGGGGGGCAGGAGAGGAGGGGGGCAGGAGAGGAGGGGGGCAGGAGAGGAGGGGGGCAGGAGAGGAGGGGACAGGAGAGGAGGGAACAGGAGAGGAGGGGGGCAGGAGAGGAGGGGGGCAGGAGAGGAAGGAACAGGAGAGGAGGGGGAGTCAGGAGAGGAGGGAGGCAGGAGAGGAGGGGGGCAGGAGAGGAGGGGGGCAGGAGAGGAGGGGGCAGGAGAGGAGGGGGCAGGAGAGGAGGGGGCAGGAGAGGAGGGGGGCAGGAGAGGAGGGGGCAGGAGAGGAGGGGGGCAGGAGAGGAGGGGGCAGGAGAGGAGGGGGACAGGAGAGGAGGGGGACAGGAGAGGAGGGAACAGGAGAGGAGGGGGGCAGGAGAGGAGGGGGGCAGGAGAGGAGGGGGGCAGGAGAGGAGGGAACAGGAGAGGAGGGGACAGGAGAGGAGGGAGGCAGGAGAGGAGGGGGGCAGGAGAGGAGGGGGGCAGGAGAGG